ATACATTCAAAACACACATTAAATAATTTTTTTTTTTAACTTATTTGAAATAAAGTTCAGCGAGCCAGCTAACGAATGAAAATGAAAATATTTACATTTTATAATTAAGCAACAATCGGTCCAATAGCAGAAGTTAGTTTACAACGTTATCTATCGGGATTTTGTAATATTCCGCATCATTCTTGGACCGAAAGAAATTCTATGCATAAATTACATTTTAATCGAAACTATAGTTTTGTACTTTTAGGGTGATCTCTGCGCAACATGCACTTATTTGTGAACATAACATTGTAGATTGTTCGGAATCTATATACGTGAACGTATTCAGAACGTTTTGAATGCCAAATTTTGGAATGGAAACTTTGACAATCACACGTAGACAACCCGAAAGGTGTTAAAAATACGTTTTACCTCCAGGGAACACTTTAGTTTCAACACAGCATACTGACATCGAAAGCAGTGGCGAAAACATTCCAAAAATCTCCGTTAAGTTTCAAGTTCGCTTAATAATCGTAGTTATTGTAAACGCAACTCTCATTCTTGTAACATTACTCGGACATCTTATATAACTCAAATGTTATTTTTGTACACTCCACCTTTTTTACTCAACTCAGTATATAATCTGTTATCGATTTGGCAAAAGCTTATAGATGATTTTGTTAACCTAGAAAATTAATTGAACATATTGTCAAACAAATTGTAAATTACCAAATAACTAACATCCTATTCGTGATACTTCATGCGGTTTCCAAATTTTTTATATGCGCAAATTATGTCTCGGGCTAGGAAAGCCAAAACTGGAACACGCCTCCACGGCAAACGTTACGTCTTTATCCGAAAGATTCCGTGTATTCGCCAATTTCGCCTCTGATTAAATTCTGTGTAATGAAAGTCATCTACCTTTACTTTCATTTGCGACCTTCTATCGCGCAATTGTCCTCATTGCTTTTCCAAAGTTTTTGCCGGCACATTTAATAATTAAAACATTAAAACTATTAATATACATAGTTTAATCAAAGTTCTTTTCGAATCACACAATTTCCAGCCAGTGATCAAGTTGTTGCCTGTAAGAAAATTCACATTTACTACTGCAGAGGCAAAATACCGTTACTCGATGTGCTTAATACCAAATCTCAAGTCACTCATCTTTACTAATGAATGTAAGTCGTAGGCAACGCTCCCTGGTTTCCAAGCACTAACATCGCATCTTATTTCTCCAATCAACTATGCAGCTTTGTATTTTCGGCTGAACGTTGTTGATCTTAGAAGTCATTTGCTTAGGGAGTACTCAATCGCAGAAGAAATTCCTTACCGTATCAGGCTGTAAATCTGTCTTACCTGTTTTGCATTCGTTTCCTTCAATCAAAACTCATACTTATGTGCTAGGAATTAGATCCTTACTACAAAATCGCGAGGCTGATCCGTTTTGTTTCTGTTTTCGCTGGATGCATAGTCCTCCTCCTCATAAACATATGGAGTGTTGCCGTCTTCTAACCTTCTTCTACTTGTCTATTCGCCATTCCAAGCTTCCCAAACGGTCTGTATATAGACTTTATGAGCGTTTTTGAAATATTGCTCTCAGGCAATTTGGCGGCTTACATCGCTCGTTTCTATTTTATTAAAGGATGTTCGTTAGAGCGTATGAATATTCACACTCAAACTATGAATATACTTTTTCACAAATTTTTCTACTTTCGTCATATTTATACATTTACAATCAAGCTAACCGCCGATTTTGTTAAGTTTCAAATAGAGAACTTCGCCTTCAAATTGAACCTTTTTTACTCAACTCAGTAAATCATCTGTTGTCGATTTGCGGACTCGTAGAAGAAGGAGCAGAAATTGAACATATACACATTACAAAAAATGGGGTTGTGAATTTTTTAGTAAGTGAACGCTACTTATGGTTTTAATATGCACCAGTTTAGAAGCAAAAATTAAAGGTTAAACTGCTTCTATTCATTTCGAAGTTAGTCCGCGATGAACGACCAGAAGCGATTTTAAAGCAGTTTTTTTTCTTCAACAAAGCCTTGATTTCGTAATTATAATTTTGGCAGGCGGATAGCAGACAAATATACCTTGTAGGATTTCCTACAGACACTGTGGTGCATTAAAAGAATTTGATAAATCTAATATGTCTCTGTTGTAGCTGTAATAACTATACCCTCACTTTCCTATTTATCAGATTCTTTTTTCAAAAGTCGGATAAATGCTGCAATTCAAATAATTACCTGAAATTTTTTAATATACCAAGCCAAATGTTATGTTAAGATCTGATAATTTATTTTGTTATGAAATATTGCACTATTTAAGGGAAAAGCATTTCGACAATCATGTTTTCTTCTTATAATATGATGCTGGCACTCTGTTTCTTTCTCTCACTAGTATGTATGCATGTATTTGTGTAAATCCACCATCCATTTGCATTTTCCCGTGTATTTTATAAGAAAGTTAAAATACGATTACAATAAAGGATGCAATAGTCATACAGTTTTCCTTCTGTTACAGGGCGATTAAAAGCATATCGTCTTGTTAATATTGCAATAGAACTGTGCGTTGCATATTATTTATGTATGTGTTGGTAGTCATCATGACTCCACATTGGTCAAGTTGTGACCCTGGCTGTAGAGTATTCAAAGCTCTGGTTGGCTGATTTTTGCGGGTGGCCGCGAAATAAATAGTTGAATAAGTGGTAACCCCGGCAAACTGACGTTCAATGCTCTCGCTGTGCACATGTTTGTGCCGTGCGTTGTTAAGTATTAGTTTTTTGCGATTTCTTTTTTCTCTTCACAACACTATCGGTCAGTGGGAGGTTGGACCATATGGTGTGCTTGTCACAACTACCAATGTACATATTTTCCACATTTTTTTGCTGCGAACTTTAATTTCCAATAGAATTTTTTACGGGAGTTTTCATCTTAGCCAATCCGTGATATGCGCTAAAAACTAACATAAAATAGAAAAAAGAAAACGCAACGACGTGTTTGTATTATGAAATAATGAATACGAATGAGTTATGAAAATTTTTTATGTTGTGACCAATCAACTAAATGAAGCCTAAAAACATTATCATGTGCAACTTAAACTAAGCATTCGGGCTCAATTTGTCCTTTACCAGGTTTTTAATGGTAGTTACAGCGGAGAAGAAAATAATGCGTATATATATGTACCTGTATGTGTTCCGAAAATAGATGAACATTTGAAAATATTTTTATGTAAATATTTCACTTACCGTTGGTTCCTCACTTCTATAACCTATCAGCTTGTTTATGTTACGTAGTTGTTTAAATTATGCATATAATTATTTTGTACTTTCATTTCATAACATTTATTGTAAGGAGTGCCATTACTGATTGCAACGGATGAACAACATTTAAATCGAATTCGATGATATATAAATTTATATATATAAGCATTTATTCTGTCAAATAGCACCTTTCACATTTACAAACACTTAAAGTTGGTTTTTATCCTTTTATTGATTCTTAATTAAGAGAAGTTAAATAATCTATTTTTTATGCAATATTATCACAATTTTACCACAATGCTTACTAAATTTCCCTTCAGTATCTTCGAGAGTTTCTAGACAATAGACATAAGCATTCTACTTTTCGAAGGTAATTTCATCCTTTAAACCATGTATTTAATTTTTATTTGGGTAATTCAATTTACATTGTAGGTGTTCAACTTTAGATTTGTATATACATAGAAATAAGCTTAGTAGGATCTAACAAAGTTTGCTAGTGTTTTTTCATTTCCTTTTATTTTACTCATATTAAGTATTACATGTACAGATAATTCACATTGTTTCTTTAAAGTTGTACCAACGATTAGCAAATATGTCAAAAATTAGTAAGCAAAATTTGTCCTTGACTGATTATAGGATTCTTACTTGTTCATGCCTATTAAGCTGCTCATTGCGATTGTAGCTGGCTCAGAATTAAGAGAAAGGAACACTATACCTTCGTTTTAGTCAATCCAATGCGCCGTTGAAATAGATGAGTATTATATATCTCAACGGGTCATAATATTAAGCACATATTTTATGAACAAATTTTACGGTATTTCAGTAATATTACTATACTTTACAAATTGGTTCAATGAAAAAGATAAGTGATCCACATATTAGCTGCGCATGCTTTGTTTACCTCTCATATATCTTGTGTATACGATGGTCGTGACAATATATGTTACTTCAGTATTACAAAAGTTTCCAGAGCGAGTCTTTTAATATGCGCTAAACTTCATGTTGAAAAATCGCGGTTTCATGACTTTTAGAATATTGAGCACGTTTTTCGCTTTGCTTGTATCAGTGTAAGATACCAAGCACAAAAAAGAAAATTGCATTGGAAGTCACTTGAATTATGAAATAATATACATTTCAATTTTTACAAAACTCGTTAAAAAACAAACAAATTTGTGATTTTTAAGGGATTTAAATATGTTACGTTCACACAATTTCCCCGTAACCGAATTCAGGCAATGTTAATACTCTATATAACAAATTTAGTTAAAACCTCTCAACTGAGACCTTTTACTCATATCATTGCACACTACATAGTAAGATGGCCATTTGATGAATGAAATGCCTCCGTCACCGCCCATCCAAGAAATCCTTCCTATCGTACGAAAGCTTAGCTAGAATTCTTTAAAGAAAACATATGCATTTCAACGAGAAACCCTTAGAGAACAGGATTAAGTAATAGTATTTCAAATCTCACACTAATTTTGTAATATATACGTAGGTAAATATGTATTATTTTTTATTTTCACTATGTATTGTTTACGTGAAAATTTTATTTCATTACGTTATTATTAGTGTTTCGTTTTCACTTTGTGATATGCTTTTGTAGGCAAAAATAATAAAAAACTGAAAGAAAACCATTAATATATGTAACAGGTTAAGTACACAATAACACTAATTGTTTTTGTTTACCACAAATTTTATCTACGTTTGTCTTTCCGTTGTTGTGGCCGTTTTGTGCTCTTACATCCCGCAGCTTTTTATGCACAAGAGCGCCATGCAACAAATACAACAGCAGATACCACGAGTGGGTCTAGGAGGCACAGCTACCAATAATTTGGTTGGTAATGAATCTAAGCCCCATCAGTGTCAACAGTGTATGAAAAGTTTCTCCAGCAATCATCAGCTTGTACAGCACATACGCGTCCATACTGGCGAAAAGCCTTACAAATGTTCATATTGCGATCGCCGATTTAAACAATTATCGCACGTGCAGCAACACACTCGCTTGCATACGGGTAAGTACACACACATACATTTCCACGTGCACATGTTATACACGTATATATTATAAGACATCAACACTCGCAAACGCGTGCACCCTTACAAAGGCACACACACATACACATACATATATATATGTATATATATATGCATATATATATATATATAGATATACATAGATAGATATATATATATATATATATATATGCATATGCTTGCCTTTTTTCAGAACACCCATTATAAGTACTCATAGGTAAACTATAACGATTTCTACCAAACTTACCCACGTGAAATTTTTTCCTACACCAATCAAACCGACGTGATCTGCCCACAAACATGCGCGAAATTCGTAGAAAATTGTAATACTCTCAAAAAAGAATCAGCATATTTTTCTAATTTGGTCAATAAAGAATGATTCCTGAAAAGTTGCTGTCATTTTGGTTTTCATTACCTACCACACCTTATTCTGTGGCTTCTGTTTGTTTTCTGATTATGACGGTTCCAAATATATGCTACACTGAGTAACGATTACGCAACATATCTATATATTGTATTTACTTCCAATGTAGGAACATTTTTTGCTTATGAACAGTGTAATTTAAACAGTTTTGTGTCCAAACGATTTTTCAGCCCCATCAAAATAACAATCTATGGTTTTAAATTACGTTCTTGTCCGCAAGAGAAGAGAAGTTCTTCAGCGCATTGAAATTGCTTATGTCTTCTTAGACGCTTTCCATTTGAAAATTTGCGCACTCTTACTCAAGCTCATTTTTCGCATACCTTGTTTATTTGTAAGAAGGCATCGTCACGGCTTTGTAATTAAAACTAACAAATAATGTCTTTTTACAAGAAATATTCCAAGCCATTACCTTTTGTCACATTAGGAATGTGACCAATTGCTAGAAATTTGGTAAATGACATTTGTACAAAAATTTAGACGATCGTCCTTGAGCGAGATTCTAAAATTATTGCATTGCATTATTGTATTGTCATCCTTTGGCCTCCTTCGGCTAGCGCAGTGTAGAGTAGCTAAATAGTTACAATTCTTGGGCTATTATTATTGATCAAATTTTTCAAATGGTATGGTCAAATACAACAAGTGGTTGTATAAAACATCACTCAATAACACTAAAGCAATTCCGAATTTAAAAATAAGCCAATCTCCACCATGTTTCGAGTAAACTGTTAGATAATCTTGACGAATACCCACCTTTTGGATATATGTGTATCTACGCAATTGTAGCTCGGTAACGAAAATAAGGAAAAAATGTCATTTTTTTCTTTTAGTTTATTTCAGTTTTTGCGGTCTGTTTATTCACTTTTGACCTTACCTCCAGTCGATTGAGGAAAATACGTTCTAAATTTCGATATCCCATCGTAGTTTTTGCGCATGTCATCGGTATCTTGAAAACTACAGCACTTGACACAGGACTAAAGAAGGGCATTTGCAGGTTTTTTCATATGAATAAATTTCATCAAAAATTTCTAAAATACTGCATATTTTGTAAATATTTTTTTAAAGTTGAAATGAGATAAATTTGCATACTTGGTAGTTCCATTGTTAGGCAAAAACAGCTTAATAAAACCCGTCTCTTTTATTTTTTATTTTTCTGACACACATACACATCACAGAACATTGTGGACTAAAATTCTAACTCACTATTTTCGAGCTACTACCGCTTTTATTATTAGGTGTTTGCAAAGATTTTGATCACTTTTTCCCCTGAAAAAAATATGTTGATTGAAATGGTTTCCATCATTTTCTACGGCATTTTACAATATCTTTGGCAACATGGCGTTATCATGTCTAAAGAACTTATATTGGTTTGGCACCGATCCTTCCACCGACCATTTGTTAACTTTGCGGAACCGCATGCCAGTCAAGCGATGCTGCATCAATCTGAACAAGTGAAAATTAGCAGGCGGCATTTCTGGTGAGTACAATGGGTGTGGCAGAACTTTCCATTCGAACTGCAAGAGTGTATCTTGGACAATTCTTGCAACAAATGACAAAGAAATGGTATTTTCAGTCAATTCGTGTCGCCACTTTTAAACCGTTGAACCCAAAACTGACAAATGGGATACAGTGGAGCAGCATCACCATAAGCCTTTAAATATGTTTGGTGGGCTTCGACAGCAGTTTTCTACAAATAAACAGCAAAAGTAATGAATTTGAAAGAAGAAGAATTTTGAGGGCCCCCTAATTAGCGTCGGCGTACGCTAAATAAATCAATAATATTACATGGAAAATCGTTATTTTATGTAGAGAAAGGTCAAAACCATTGAAATTAACCGTTATGTACACTGATATTTCCCATTTCTTTAAGATTTTTACATGTAGAAGTAAAATTTTTGCAAACACCTAGTATTTATATATGTATTCACTTTATAAGGAGGATTCTTGGCGTGTATTGTACACACGAGTAGTATTGAAGTATTTGAAGTCTAGAGCTTAACCTGTAAACTCTGCTGATCTCTATCAAGTAACTTAACTTTTGTCCTGTTCTGCTCACTACATTCTTGACATAGGTAACCTAATCCAATAAGTCATTTCTGGTATCGTAATGCTAAAATTTCAATAATGATATTCTACGGTTCTTTACTGCCAGATTTTATATATGTAAAGAATAAGCTCCGTTTTCATAATCATCAGATTTTCTATTTTAAAAAGCTTTATTTAAAAAAAAATTAATTATTATTAATGAAGTACTATAGAATTTAGAAGTATAACTCTGCCCAAACCACGTGATTTACTTTTCTTTTTATCTCCTTAGATTTCTAAAATGGAATACCAAAAGTTTTGAAGGGAGGCTTATTTTATGCGGTAGTTTGCTCACAAGTACTAAGTGTTCTCATTAAAACCTTCATATTCTGCTCTTTGTGTACCTTATTGCTTAGCTAAGATTTAAGTACATCTTTAGCTCTTAGATCCAAGCTTTATTGCCATCGGTGTTCTTATGCATGAGTCAAATTCGCTTGGTACGATTGGTTTCCACGAAGAGCGCATTCGCTTTTTCCTATTTTATCGAAGCCACATATTAACCTTATACTAAAATAATTCTTATAGTGGTTTGCTAATAAACAAATGCATTCTTTTCTTTCATTCACACCTATGCATCTGATTTTCATTAAAAAACGACGTACCACTCACGAACCATACATTTAAACCTTTTCTTAGGTCAACTCCAACCAACGGTAATACCTCTACTTAAATTTGGCAGAGCTTTGTCAATTCTTGTCTCTTGAGATAATTATAAGAACATTACATAGACACATTCAGCTTTACGCTTGCTGAAACTCATTTTTATCATGTGTTTTTAATGATTGTTCAAATATGAAAATATTATGAGTCAAGCGTGGTGTACAAATCCACTTTGTATATAACACTTTACATAAGTTTATAGAATGTCAGCCAGATATAAGATGACTATTGATGAATCCATATGATTTTAAGGTAGTGGCAAATCGTCAAATTACTGTGTTATAAGTAAATTAAGAAAAGTGCCCTCATAATTTTGAACAAATTTGTTCGTAGTTTGGTAATACCTAAGAAGTTTATATCGGGGACCAAAGATTCATTAAAAAATATTGTATTCGGTTGAAATGGTTGCTTTAGATATCGCAAAGTAAAACGAAGTATATGGATTCGATTTTATGAATATATCACACTTAATTGCCGGAATAAACGAGAAATATATGGTCGATTTTATCCAGGTAACAGAATTTCTTTGAACACGTAAATTAATTAATTTTGGAATCTATTGAATGCCCAAAAACCACCAAAGGCGTTACGAGCTCTAATACATAAGTGTCAATAATGTGCATATATCGGAGATAATCTTATGTAAGTTGAAAGAACTCTACTAAGTGTTACTGCTGGAGGTATATAATTGGCATCACATCACTAAACTACAGACCACATATAAGGGAAATGTAAAGCAGTTCGAACAATGAAAACATAAGTGCCTAGTATCACGTAGAAAAATACTGAACTCTGATGAAGCGTATGCGATTGAATAATTCGTAGTTCGTAATTTCAAATAATTCTAATAACAGACTTTCCAAAATCTTTCGGCAATGTACTAGCTTTAACAATATCTATATTATTTTTTATGTATCATCTGCTGTCACTCCTGTAAACAAAAAGAATATAGCCCAAAAATCAGTATCGATAGAAACTGAATAACAGCGACGTGACGTTAAGAAAAATATAGCAATGGGATCAGAGGATGCACATACGTGACTTGCAACCCTGAAATTTTTCCAAAATGAAAAAATCAGTTGGAGAAGTTCATTTATTGTATCATCATATATTGGAAATATTAACATAGCATAAGTATCATTTTCTACGTATCACAATATGTTGCTACTTAAATAAGCGGATTCAAGAGAGGAAAAGCTGCCTTCCTTTCTTTCATTTATTGCACTTGTATTCGACTACGCTTTCCAAATATTTGAGCTTACTATTTTTTACTATCGAAGTCGAGGTGTTACTTTTACAACTCATCCTCAGAAAACAAAATATTTGCAATATGAAATTACGTTAGTACAACACTCCAAGCAGATTAAAATCGCCAGTTCAATAATAGCATTTTAAGACCCAAGCGGCTCAAAAACCTCATGGAGGACACCAATATTTTATAAAACAAGCCCATGCTTGCGCAGCTCTGTTACAAGTTTAAAAACTCCACTCACACTTGGAATAATTATCGGTCTATTTAGCTGGGATGTTGCCGGGATCAATTCATGGTTTTTCAACCCAATTTACAGTTCCAGTCGGTACATCGAAATTTAACTAACACAAATTACTGTAAAGATTTGTTATTGCAGTTCTCACTGTTTTCTTTATGCTTTTTATCGAAAAATTTGTTCAGTATAGTTTCAGTATAAACGATTGTTAAAATAAAATAATAGGTTTCCGCCGACAACATTTAACGCTTAACTGTCTCTTCTTCCCATTTTTTTTTTTTTTTGCCAATCTCGCCAACTCTTCTTTCTTAGTATTTTATTATTT